CAGACAGTTTGCATTTCGGTTCTCACCAGCTCCAGTCAATGGTAAAGGAGTGGCGGTCCAAAACAGCTGAAGGGCACCCAGCTGAGGAAGTCTTGCTTTCTGTTGGTTCTAATCCATGAAATCATTTGAGAGGTGCTTTAGAAGTACAGAGTACGGCTCAAAAAAGGGTGTGTGTGAAAGACTTACTAATGTAAACTTGGTACTGGCTGGTACATTCCATGACACCATGGGGAGAGGAGAAATAGGTGACTTCCCCTCCCCACTCCAAATACCTAATTAGTTCTTTCCTTGTAGGCTGATAGGCCGACTCCCTGCCATGGAGGACTGTTGGGAGGACTGCATTAATAAGGGATCCTGCTATTCCGTGTTCAGGGACTGCCTTTATTTATTTATGAACTGAACATAAACCATTCCTTTTGCAGAGGCTCTTCTTTTCTTCCTTTCCATTTTCAGAGCTGTTTATTGTTGGTTTTTCCTGTCGTTGGTGTCCTGCCTTCATCCCAGGCGCTCAAGGGGGCAGGCATATGATGACCCTCTAAGGTAGGCTGGGCTGTAAGAAGGCAACTTGCATGCCAGTTTGAGCCCCGCTACCTCCAATCTGACATTCAAACACCTCCGGACTGGCTAGGCTGAATGTGTTGCTTAAAAATACCTGTGGATCTCATGTTTGGACTATATTAGAGGCTTGATTCTGAGATGCTGGATTGGAAATAAAGGAGTTGCTTCGATAAATCCTATCGGCCTACCCTGGATCAGAGCCCTGTCTTGAGCTGGAAGCCACACCCTTCAGTCATGGTTTTGTTTTGTTTTTTTGGAGGAGGGTACTTTTGTGGTTTCTTGTTTTTTGTACTCTACATGCCTGTGCTAGCTGAAGACCTGAAAGCAGACATCACAAAAGAAGAATCTGCCAAATCTTGACAAAACCTCTGTTCGTTTTCCTTATGGCGATGCCAAAAACTACAATGGCTTACATAACTAAGGTTCTCTCTGTGACAAGCATAGAAAGAATGTGGCAAGGAACGCATATTTTGAATGCAAATGCTGGCTTCCCCCTCTCCTTTCCTCTGAAAACTTCCCAAAGCTTTGGTGATCAATGCAAATGAGATACTGTTTTCCTATTGCTCATTTTCTCTGACCCCTGAGAATTGTGCAAAACTTTAAAACAGCTTAAAGGAATTTTGATTCCACAGCACCAAGCCCTGGGCCTTCTAGTTCCCAGCAACCAATGCAGAGACAAGGAATTTCCTTGATAGCTATCTAAATTTTATAAAATCCCACAAGAAGACTGGCTTCTTCCTCAGTACTCCGGATGAAAACAGTAAAAGGTGTGCCTGACTGTAAAATAAAGCACAAGTCCTGCTTTGCCAGTTACTTGGATTTCCATATGAGGGGAAATTGTGGGAGGGGAGAAACACTCATTGTGGAGCTGAATATTTCTTGGACTGCATGACAAAGACTTGCAGCACATAGTTTCTCAGCCCAGCAGAATGTTCCTTAGAAACTGGACAAGCTTTGGGAAGTTTAAAATGGAGGCAGCAGGGGCACGTGACTGGGCAACTTGGAACAGCTGGTCTGTTGAGATAGTACATACTGGACTCTTGTCTACTGGGAGGTAGATGCTGCAGCCTCTGGAGGTGGTGCTCAACCGCTCTGCTTCTGCCTGCATGGCGTTTCTAATGGATTTCTTCATTTTTCTATTTGGCAAAGGATCTAACTCCCATATTTAATTTGTTATGTGGGATCTTGTGGTCATACGGTAATCCTTAACTCATTGCTTATTGGTTTCTGCACCATTTGTCTTTATGTGTGTCTCTAAATCTAAAAGTGATTCCTTCCCAAAACCACTTGTTTGCATGTCAGCTATGTAACAGATGAAGTCAATTAAGCTGTTTGCATTGGAGGAGGGAAAATGATGTGATCACCTTGTGCTGCTGAAGTTTTCCTTAAGCCATCCATCTTAATCAGAGTTCTGATGAGAAGAAATTGGAGTGCCTTGTGCACAAAGTCTATGGGAAGAAGAGAGCCGGTGTGGCTTGCTTCCTAAAGTGTTGGATTGTGGTGATGAAACGGAGAGGCGGACAAACTTGCAAGTCACCAAGTCGCTTGGGCGCCTTGCAAGAGGAAGAAAGGAAGGGTATGATTGCAATGTAATCATAAGAGAGTTGTAGCTGTCACTCATCCTACCTCCTTGCAAACAGAAAACATCTATTCTGACAAATGGCACAGGGAACAGTTTATCATAAGATTCTGTTCAGAATTCACCATCTTAGGACTCAAGATGAAGGATGGTATAGAAAAGCTTTTTAATAAATAAACAAGAAAATTCTAGCATGCATTGGAGACAATGTACATTCAGAAGCAGCCACCCAGCCGAAATGCATGCATGCCTCATTTCATGCAGCCCTCCGCCTGACTGCCAGAGTCCTCGCTCTGCAACTGATCAGCTCATACCTCTGGCCCCTGACAGGCCTCTGCAGGGCTGAGAGGAGAGGAAAGGCATGGCCATGATCACTGCCTGTGGGCAGGCCCTGACAGATGGTCCTCCTGGGAATGAAGCCCCCGACACAGAGAAAAGGTTTCCTCTCCTGCAGGGGAGCCTGTACTGCCACACGAATCATATTGGGGGTTTGCATGGCTGTGTGTTACTATTATTGTAAGGAAAACAGCCCTGCAGCCTGGCAACCACACGAGTGGCTGTGATAAGAGTGGGTATTTCCCATAAAGCACTTGCTTTACATAGGGCACAGTCGTCCCACTCATGTTTACACAGGAAAATATTCTGCAGCGCTGGCTAGGGGATGCAGGGAGTTACGGGACTTTTCCATTGCATAGGATTACACCCGTTGTATATGCTGGGTGTAGATCTAGATGAAAAAAATCAGTCTTGGCAAAGCCCATGGAGGAGATGGGTGAGGAGGTTTGCCAGGTAGCTGCCTTTCTTCCCAAAGCTTCAGAGCAGAGGCTGGGTCTTTTGGTCGCCTGAGGAGCTGGGTGTTTCCAAAGGGAAGGCCAATCACTTAAGTCGTGTGAATCCATTATGTGCTACAGAAATAAGCGGCTGTTTGGAGTAAAGTCTGCTTTGAACCTTGCACCATGTTTTATATATGATGGTCTGCACGTGTTTTCCAACATTGAAAAAATGTTCCAGAAAATATCTGCGGTCTTCCCACCCTCCCCTCTGTTATTTAGTGCAGGGTTTTCATAGCCTTAAACCTGATAATGAGTAGCAGTGTTGGCTTCTTTCTCCCTCCCTCATAAAATGCAAAGCCTGCATGTGGAAGAAATTCCAGGACTGATCCTGGAATTGGATCAATCCAATTTGAATGGGAACAGTTCCTGCCTCCCCAGTAGAAAGGCCGTATAGACTTTCCTTTGTATCTTTTGTAGAAGGGTGATTGCTAAAGAGTTGTCTGGAATATTTTATTCCATAAAGAGCTTCATACCCAGGCAATTACCTTTTTTGCTTCATGAATAACTTCATAGCTTCATATTTCATGCCAGGGTGAGCAAGGGGGGAGGGCAGGGGGGTTGGCGGGTGGTACATTTGGAGGCCTGGGAGCAGGTATTTGATCCGCTAAGCTTCCATCCAGCCTTCCTCAACTGGGTGTCCTCCAGGTAGAAATTCCTCCTGGGGTCCCTGAGCTGGGGCTGCAACATGCAGGGTTCCTGAGCATTCCTGGGGCCTCCTGGGGCGGTACACCAGCTAGAGCTCTGTGAGGATCTGTGAGACAGTGTCCTCCTTGTTGATGTAATCTGGGAGGCCCCACATGGGTTTCAGGAATGAGTGTACTTCAGCCACGGTATGTGGACGGGCAAGCTTGACATGGACATGAGATAACATGCCAGTGGGATGTGCTACACTCACAGGAAGCTCATGTGCTCTGTCACTGGCGTGGCTTCAGTATCTGTTGGGTGTGCCAGCTCCTCCTTCCCACCTGGAAGCCTTCAGCGTGGCAACGTCTCACTGCTCAAGGAGCAAACTGGAGGCGGGGTGGCCCTGTGGGTGACCCAGTGGAGGAAAAAACACAGCAAGGCAGGCAGGCTGTTCGCAGTCTCTTCTGTCCCGGATATTAGCAGCCGTTCCAGTGAAGCACTTAATTGTGCACCCCTCGTTGGAAGCCCTGAAGTTAATGAACATGCAGCTGACACGACAGGGTATTGCTTATTATGCGTGTGTGTTTCTTAGAAAGGAAAGGCGAAGTGGCAGCTTCTCTCCTGCACACACTGGCATGGGCCTGAAAGACCAGCCCCCTCCCTCTTTGCTCCTTGCATCAGCTCAGTGGCATAGGTCAGTCTCCACCAACCCTGCGTCCCTCAAAGCATGGGGCCATAGCCCTGGTCTTCCCCAGACAGCACAGCCAGTGCTGTGGCCCAGAACACCGGAGAGCGCTAGGCTGGAAAAGGCTGGCCCTCAGGACTTCAGCCGTGCCTTTGCAGCCATAAAGACCGGAAACTTGTTTTAACAATGGCATTTCACCCATGATTTCTGCACTCTTTTTGCTGAATGCGAAGAATCATGACACCTGCTGAATGAAGGCAAACCACAGAAAAGAAGGGCTGATTTCTCCTTTCTCTGATAAATATGTGTTCGTCATGCATGTGTGTAGCGTAAATTAGCAGTGGCCCTTCCACAGTGGGAAGCATTGCTTTCCTTCACCGGATTGCTCGCTGTTCCAGTGCTGCTGCTCTGATTCAGCAGGCCAGTAAGCAGGTGGTGCAGTATTCCGAAGTGCTTACGTTGCTGATATTTTTATGAGCCTGCCCCAGGAGGCAAAGGCCTGTCCGTGTAATCCTCTGCAGTGCCAGATTAGTACCTCAGAGTCATGACCAGCAGGTCCCACCTGTACAATGCGGCGTTTTATATCTATGTTGGCATCAAAGATGTCAGCTCTTTGGTCCTGTCTGTACAACCTGAAAAGAAGCAGATGCAGAAGCCTTGTTGATGGGGGAAAGGTCTGTAAACCAGCTTCTTAATGCTTCTTCTGTCCTCTCACCTTTAGATGGAGCTGCGGCCTCGTCTCTGCCAAATGAAGAAGGGTCCGAATGGATACGGATTCAACCTCCATAGTGACAAGACCAAACCAGGCCAGTATGTCCGGGCCGTGGACCCAGGCTCCCCAGCTGAATCTGCAGGACTGCTACCCCAAGACCGGATTATTGAGGTATGCATTATTGGGGTGCACTGAGGGTTCTGAGGGGGCAGGTGCTTGCAACCTGGAGCAAGATCTCTCACGGTGATATGGAAGTGGGGTATGTCACAGAAATTGCAGACAGTGACCTGACCGAGATGGCTCTCACCTTCCCATGATATGCACCTCTGTCTTCCTCTTTAGGTGCAACAAGCCATGTTCCCACCTTGAGTGCCAGGAGGTCAGTTGGCTGGAATTCAGGGAAGGCCCTGCCTCCGAAGCTAGGGGGAAATCTCTGGGGATTCTGGAGGAATCTGATCCAAATGAATTGCGATTTCTACGATTCCAACCTGCATATTCTGCAGCAAACCAGCCTCTTTTGAATAGAATGGATTACGTGAACTTGTTAGACCCTTTAAAAAAAACTTGCTTTTGTCAGGGCACTAATGTGCATCAGTGCAAATGGAATAAAATTCTTGCACTTCCCTATCGAAGAGCAAACAGGAAGGAAAACTGACATTTTTGGAAAGTCCTAATGGAGAAAATCTATATTTCTCTAGCAGTCTCCATCTTGGTTTACCGAGAGGGGACAGAGCTTCCCTTAGGCTTACAGGCGCTCTCTAATAAGTATCTGCCTCCCACTGTTTCGTCTGCTCTTCCTCTCCTGTGCAAAAGAGTGAAAGCACCAGCTTTTGAATAAACCACGGTTCTGCTATGCTTTGTCTTTCTAACTCTGGCTAGCTAAAACAAGCTAGGTTATCAGACAATGGTTTGATCCTAGTGTCTGAACAGATCCATTTCCTGAGCTTGGCTATAACAGTAAACTGAAGATGCTTCTGTAAGTTTCTCTCAGAAGGCAGAGGATTACAAGACGGGAACATGCAAACTTGAGACTCAAGAAGTTCATAACAACAAAGCTTGATTTCTTACATCTGAACCAGACCTATCTGACTCTTTCACAACTGGACCTGCAGAAATCCGGCCTTTGCTTTGTACCCCTGAGTGTTCCTTCTTCATTGTTCAGCAAAGCTAAAGGGTGAGCAGATAAGAGACTTGTCAAGAGATGAATTATCAACATTGGAGTATTCTGGCTGCTGCAGCTTTTTTAGTGAGAAAGTTGACTGTAGCTTGTGACAGAAGGAGAGAAAGTTAGCAGCATGGTTTGCCAGTGTTCTTGAAAAACACTTCCTCCCTCCTTCTGTTAAAATAGAGTATCAGTTAGGTTTGAAAAGTCCAGTCTTCATTTCCTGATTTTGGAGTCCATTGGAGCTGCTGCTGGGTTGTTGCAACCACCTAGACTGGCTGTCTGATCTACTCTGCATGGGTGTAACTCCGCTCAGATCCCCTTAACCCTTTAACCTTGGCATGCTGGTAGGAAGGGTACTCCAGCCCTGTGTGTTCAAATGATCATGTGCTGGATTGATATGAATGGATGATTTTGGCATGGGCGAGGCTGGCTGGCAGCTCCTCTCTTGGCAGCAAAGGCTCGCGCTAGGCCTTTGCCAGAAGGCTAGGAACTCAGCTCCACATTCATGTTGCTTGCTTGGCGTTTTGGAGTTGTGGAGGTGCAGATAGGGCTTCAGCTCCTGTAACATGTTAAAAGTACCTTCAAAGATCGCAGGCCCCTTCCCTGATGAGTGAAATAAGGCATAGGGAGTCAACAGGAGTGTAGAAAGTTGAGGGACGAAGGTGACAACAGGGTGGGAATATACATTTGGATTTGCTGTACTTTCTTTGTTCTCATATTTTGCCGCATGTGAGCCTAACGGCGGAAGTTCCTGTAGCGCCAAGTCATGGCACAGTTATAACTCACGACTGGAAAACCACAGTAGCATCCAGCTGAAGATTAGCACTGGAGGGGCCCTGGTCAAACATGGCTGTTGTTGTTTCTATGCCACCCATAGCTGAAGCTCTCTGGGCAGTTCACAACAGCGTATAAAAACAATAAAGTACAGTAAATACAACATTTTAAAATTAATTAAAGTACATTGAAATACAATTAAAAGATAATGGCCAGGAAGAAAGGAAAAAGGCACCTGGATAAACTCGTCAAGTCCTTGCATAATCGGAGAGATCTTGAAAGGCTCCACAAAGAGGGCTGTCTTAACCTGGTGCCAAAAAGGTAGCAAATTTGGTGCTAGGTAGGCTGCAGTAGGGAAGATGTTCTAAAGACTGGAGGAAAAATTTTAAGGACCCAACGAAAAATTCCCACATAATCCAACGTGCTGAGGAGCTCCATATGAGTCTAATTGTGGAAATAGGATGCACACAGAACTCCATTACTGGGTCACCGAACTCAAAGGCTAGTGAACCGCTGAACTGGAGGAAGGCAATGTATTAGTTGCCCTGGCACCAATTACATCCGGATCTTTCATGCTGGAGCTGTTCAGGGATTAGCAAAGAAGCCAGCAAACCTCATTAAAACCAGATTTTCCTGAAGCGATTAACACAGGATTGCACAAGCAAAGCTGCCAGGTGTGTGTGGTCGGAGATGCACACAGCTAGATTACAGGCCTGCACCAGGCATGTGATGTTGTGTACAAACTGACAGTGAGACTACCTGGTGAGCCTCAGCGTGTGCATTGACTAAGGAGGCCAGGAGACGTATTTATAGCATAACTTAAGCATGCCCATCTCATCTTCTTTCAGATCTCTGCTGCCGATACCTGTCCATCTTTTTCCTGTATTTCTTGAAAGAAATAAATCTTTTTGAAATGAAGGTTATTTACAAGAAGTTCAGGAACTAAAACCAGGATTAATTACAAAAATAGTCGAACAGTGACAACAGCTTTAAAAGTCAAAAGCTGTTGCTTGACACCATTCCTGAACATGAAGAGAGCAAGGGCCATCCGTGACTCTAATGGAGGGCATTCCAGCATTTGGGAGCAGTGCAGGAGGAAGCCCTTGCACCTGACCTCTGCCGTCAAGGATGCCTCCCAAAGGGCCCTTCTTGCTCACCTTAGTAGCGAAGCAACTTCATCCCTGAGCCAGGGCATTTCTCTCAGCTGTCTGTCTTTCCCTTTCCTCCCTAGTGCCTTTGCTGTTCTGTCATAAGGGCTCAGCACCACAAAGTGTGCAAATTCTCAGGTGTGTACAGAGCGGGGAATGACTCCCATGTTTCCAGAAGTGCATGAAGCTGCCTCACAGTTAGGCTGGTGGTTGGTCTAGCCCAGATTTCAAAAGCTCACCAGTGACCTTTCCCGGGTCCTTCAGCTGGAGATGTCAAGGTTGATCCCACCACTTCACACGCATGAGGACGGTGCTGTTCCACTGTGCCAGTCCCCAGAAGCATTGCTTGTGTCTCTCTTGTTTCCAGCCCTTGGGCTGGATCCAGGTGAAACCTGAAGCTGCCTCTGTACCTAACAGAGCCTGATATGAACGTCTGTGGCGCCACCCTCCCATCTTGTCTGAAGACTTGGACCATGATGTAGGCATCACATGACTTCAACATTGTCAGCATTTAAAATCCTATTTTCCCCACTCCACACAGTTTTTTTGTTGTATCTTGCTTGAAGCCTGCACTGTTTTGTGACCTTTGAGCTAGCTTAATAAAGGTGTGACACTAAAATGATGTTGGCATTTATCTTATGACCAACATGGCTGCCTTTGCCTTGAGTCCCAAACGAGAGCTTGTTGTCCCTTGTTTAGGCATTACTTTGACCGTCTAAACTGCCTCTCCTATAGCCTACAGAACTAGTGCATGGAAAGCAGATCAATTGAGGGCACAGTCCTATGCATAGCTAGACAAAAAGTGTCCAAAAATGGCAATGTCAACTTACTGGACAAGCAAGTTGCTAACTATAGCATGCGGCTCTGCTTGTGATTCTGGAAACAAAGCGGCTCGGTTTCTGGGGACGCCAGTAACGAAATGTTGGTTGCCCTGGTTGCGGTTAATGAAACGTGTGGCAGAAATTGACATCCCAGCAAAGCATCCAAACTTCCCCTCCAGAGAGAACTGTCTTCTCTTTAAACTGGAGCTGCCTTTGTGTTCTCCCTTAACTTCCTTTGTTGTAGCCATGCTTGCAGGCATTTGGCAAATGCTCACAACAAACGTGTGAGGTGTTGCTGATACAAGTAAGAGTTAACAGGATCAGAATTGGAGCTACCCCCTTCTGGCCCAGGCGGAATGTGTTTGTTGGATTTCTAGCCCGCCCGCCCCATCCACAGCTCATCGTGCTCCATCCAGTGGCAGGGCTCCTTGCCCCCACCGGGGTAGTCCAGCCACCTTGCCTCCTGCACCACTTGTGGTCCTGGCCAGAGGCTGGCTTCTGAAGATAACAGCCAGGTTCTCTTGCCTTGCTGACTTTGTGCTCCTTGTGAAATGTTCTTAAGGCATTTTCTGAGAAGCATGGTAACCTCAAGCGTGCTGGTTTTGAATGATAAAAACTAATCCGCGGCAGACCCTTGTGGCCACATTTCCTTCCTTGAAACTCTGGGTGGAGAGAAGCGGGGTGAACAGCGGCAAGTTAGTACAGAGCAGTGCTGATATTTTGCCAGGCCCAAAGTGTTAGTGGCTTCAAGTTCCTGATCAGTAGCGTGACTTCAGGTGCTCCAGGAAAACTCCACGATGCTCCAGTAATACTTTGTTCGATCCTGGAGACAGTTCAGGAATTTTCGGATTTGATGGCATGAGCTTGAAGGATTTGTCACCCAAGGCGCTGGTCTCCATGCAGAACAATCTCCTGGGATGCACAGGGCAGTCCTGGAACCACACCACAAAGCAATCGATTGGGTGTCCTTGATGGCAGATCTTGTATTCTCAGACTGTTTTGAGAAACCCTGCTCTTGGGAAGCTCCCCCAATTCTTCAGTTCTGGGTGAAAAAGGACTAGAGTTTTGTGGTCTTGGAGAAAAGCTGATGATAATAGTGGAAGCATTTTATTCCAAAGTGTTGCACATAAAATGCAGTGATGAAACAATTTAATGTACTGCATTGCTACAACAATTATAATAACAACCTTAATGTATAGTGCAACTACCTGAATCTAATACGAAACTTAACTAATACATAGCATAAGAAAACATCTAACCTAAAACTCCATATAAGCATGCAAATCATAACCATACCTTACCTCAAATAACCAACCAAAGCCCCTGCACAAACAGAAAGCTTTCCAAGAAAAAGAGGGCCCTTGCAGTGTTGAGGTTTTGCACATCCCAAGTGGAGCTGAGGACCAGCCAGGCACTGTGCTCCAACTCCCTCAATTCTTCCATGTTAAGACTTGCAGATTTCAGAACTTGCCTCAGGACTACAACCCTCCACCATGAAAGATTTTCCAACCTCCTTGTTTAAGCCCAATAGGAGGAAAAAGTAAAGAATTCAACATCTCTTCAGGCAGAGAGACCCTAGGAAAGTGCATATTGTGTAACTAGGTATGCTTACAGGACTCTTCTGTCACGTTTAAGATAAGAAGCAATTTACACATCTTGATGGCCAAAGATATACAAATACTGCCCCCCATCAACTCCCATCCTATTGTTTTCTTTGTTTTATGCCCCGAACACCAATCTACAATTAATCTCAGAACTTGTTTTATTTTTGGTTACTTGATCCTGAAGAGCAGGTTTAAAAAAATGACCAAAATCAACCAAATGGAGACAATAAATCCCTTCCATCCATGTGGAGCCTCCCAGCCCCGCTTCTGCTTAGTAGGGCAGCCTCTCTTTTCCTGTCTCTCTGTCTCAGCTTCTCTTCCAAAGGAGCTCAACAGAGCTTCCCATCACTAAACAAGTCAGCTGATAAGGAGAGGCCAAATCCTTCCATTATCTTTTGTTTTTCTTTTAAATGGCTCATACACCAATTCTCCTTCCTCCCCATTCCATGATAGTCCAACCCTGTTGTTCCTCTATGCATTTCTGTCTTCTTCCAAAATTAATTTTCGGTTCTCTAGAACCCTCTCAGATCGCTCACAACAGTCTGGTTTTCCTCAAAGTAACTTCCTTCTCCGCAGCCACTCTCACCTGTTCACAGTCAGGAGACACACACACATCTGCTGGGGTTGAAATTCTCCCCTTTAAGCTGCTGCGCCTCCATCACTCCTCCTTTCCATGCACACAGGCACTTTTTCCGCATTCAAGTGCCCCTGGCCTCAGTGTTGGCTTGCTATCGCCAGCCTTTTCACTGTTAATGTATGGTTGTAATTTCTGAGACATATGATTCTATATCCCCCAGAGTGTGGCTTTAAATGCTTTTAAAAGTCATCTTTAGTAAAATGACAATTACTTCTTGTTGTTGTCTTTGACTCTCAGCTTTTGGAGGTACTCCATTTTCCAGGGTTCAGGGCCAAAAGATCCTTCAAACAGGTGCTTAATTTACATGAATGTAAAATACATGTCCATGTAAATTAAAGCATAGTGTTGCAATCACTTGGAAACCTCTGACGCTTTCAGTGCTAGAAATGGTAGCTGAGAACAAGCTTCCCCAAAAGGAGTCTTGCTCACCTCTAAGGAGATCTTCCCCTTTGAAGATGCTTGCCATGAGCAGGTCACTTCCCTCCTCTCCCTCTCCCTCTCCCTCAAAATGAAACCTTAGAAGCACAGTTCTTTCATTACCAGAAGCATCTGTCCATGCAAAGAGCTGAATCCCAACTGAAACTGCCCCTCCCTTTCTGAAAAGCTTCTGCCCCCACCCTCAGGGTGACTCTTGCTGCTTGAGGGGTAGACAGTGCAAATGCTGAAGGTCAAGGAGCAATTTTTGCAGCTTCACTATGTAAACTTGAATGGTCAACTCTTCCATCCACCCTTGCTGCTCTGCCGCCTCCTCGGTATCGGACGACCCTTGTCCGAACAGCCTTTAACATGCACAGGAGAGCACGTGTGCTCAGAACATGCTTCGCAGAATGTTGTGTAGGGGTTTTCTTTTTTCGGCAGACCAGCTTTCGTGGAAAGGGGCCCCTGAAGCAGCAGGAGAATTTAAAGCCGCTGTGAAGATCCATCCACTTAGAACATAAGGACGTAAGAAAGGCCCTACTGGCCCAGATCAGGGATCCCTCTAAGACAGGATTCTGTTCACACAGCTGCCACACGCAAGACAGGGGGGCAACAGCACCCGTCTGTCAAGTTCCCCAGCAACTTGAGTCTGTGGGCATACCGCCTCGGATGCCGGAGGTGGCCATCAGGACTGGTAGCCCCTGTTAGCCTAGAGCTCTCTGGACCAGTATCCCTTGATGACGCTTCGCTCCAGGAATTTGTGCAGTGTCGACATGGAGGGCTAGAAATGGGAAGTGCACAAAGCTTGAGAGCAGCTTTCCCTGGCCTGCGCTCTCCAGTTGCGCAGTACTGCAACCCCTGGATCCCTTGGTACTAGTTAGGGATGATGGGAGCTATAGTGCAGCCAGGCAAGCTGGAGAGGACCAGGTTAAGGAAGGGTGCTCCAGACATATTCTGCCAGAGAATAGAGAGGATAAAATGGCCAGGGCTGTAACCTTGGGAACTTCAAGATAACGTGGAATGGTAGTTGTGATCACCCTGTGACATTGGCCCAAGGGATGCCTTCTGCTTTTGTTAAGAAAGTGCTGCGGACTTTGCAGTATCATCCGGCGATGCAGTAGTAGTGCAACAAATGTCATGGGACCCCCTTTCCCAACCTGGCTGGACTACAACTCCCATTATTCTCTGCTGGCCCAGTGACTACGAGCACTGCAATCTGCATTTGGAGGAGGCCAGTTCAGTGAAGGCTGATCTGTGAGAATGTCCTGCATTGATACTGACCTGAAGAACTGTATCTTTGGGTGTGCTCACAATACTTTGATCTCCTGGCAGGTGAATGGGGTGTGCATGGAAGGCAAGCAGCACTCGGACGTTGTTTCGGCCATACGGTCTGGTGGAGACGACACCAAGCTGCTGGTGGTAGATAGCCTCACGGACGACTTCTTCAAGAAATGCAAAGTCATCCCTTCCGAAGCCCACCTGAAAGGTGAGGACGCATCCGTTTGTCATAGGAGCAGTCCTGGGGATTGGGTGGGCTGAGCAAAGAACATCTTTCTGTTTGCATTGGGATGTGGTCATAGCTTGAGCTCTCCTGTATGAATCAAGCACAACGAGACCTAGGCAAGTGCCCTTCCTAGGCTCCATTCGATCTATTGGTTCCAGAATCCCCAGTGTGGAGCTGGTCACTGAAAAACGTCCACTCGCTTGCCAACTTTTGTTTGCAAGCACCCACAGAGCTTTTCGTGAGTCTTCAAACAGAACCCTTAAAAAAGTCCAAGCCTTTGCCGAGATTTGATTGAAAGGATCACAAAGGCTTTTGGCTCCTTTTGGGCAGTACCTGACAAGTCTGTACCCAGTGATTAATTTTAGTTAGTTAGTTAGTTATACACATCTTTATAGGCCGCCTAAAACTGCCTTCCTAAGCAGCTTACATTATTTTGTAAAATAATGGCCAGTTCTGAGGTCTGTATTTAGAGATACCAAAATGCAGTGGAACATTAGCAGCATTTCAGTCAAGTAATGCTGGCCTCTAAAAACCCTGGAACAGCCAATCCAGAGCCAGTTCCGGGAGTGCCAAAGAAATCCCTCCCCGTCTCAGTTTCCTTGCTGGCATTTCCAGGGGTTTAGAACAAGGGTGCACAATCCGCAGCTCACGAGCTGTGTGGGATCTCCCAAGGCTTTAAATGCAGTCCATCAAGCGAGGCCTGCACTGCAGAGAGCCTTGCGATAGTGAGGAAAAGACAGAAGCGTATCGGGGCCGCTGCGACGTCCACATAGGTGTGCAGGCAGCCCTGCAACCAGCGTCATGTGTATCCTCATGGCCAAAAAGCTTGGGCACCAACTTCCTGCCTGGTATAGAATTATCTAGTCTCTAAATAGAATTTTCTTGAAACCAGAATTTTAAAGCTGTAGTTTGATGAAAAACAGTATAGTTTATTTGCCACTCAGTATACAGTAACAGTGAAGACAATTCCTTAAGACAAAATAGCAAACATTAAAGCAAAGAACTAATATTAGATAATTTTTCAGTTGCATCCTCCCATTCCATCATATACCAGAATGTTGCTGCCACTCTGAGTTGTGTTCACTTGATCTTTCTTGATCTGAGCACATTCCCACTAACTCTAGGCAAATAGGCCTACCATCATCCTGAAGTATTTCCATACGTTTTACCTAGCTTTTGAGATGTAGACATTTTCTTTGAATAATACCTCAGAACATGACAGATATTTTTCAAACGTGAGACCCATTTTCCTGATTTGATTTTATGGAGTCATTTGTATTAGTTGCTGTATTAATTAGATTAGATTAATTTTATATCATGGCCAGTGTTGAGGTGCCAGTAACTCGAAACCAGGGGTGGGCAGCTTGCTTGTCATTGGCAGCCCACACCACTCCAAGTAGGCATCCTCTGATGTGAAGAGAGAGGCTGTGAGGCACCTGCCAAAGCTCAGCTTTGGCAGATGCTCTCTCTGAGCTTGATGATGAAGTATCACCTGGATGCTCCTGCGCTCCAGGCACCCACTGCCTCTATTGTTCGGCCTCTGAGCATCAGATGTCCTGGGAAATAAGGATGGCCCCCTCTCACCTGGGCAAGAGGACAATTCTGAGCACCCTGAGGTGAGGATTCGATGGGTTCTTGGCTTGCAAAGGATTCCAAGGCCCCCTGTACATGTGTGGTGTGGGGAAGGGTACAGTGGGCAGAGCTTGAGCACCCCGGGGCGGCAGGGTCTGGCCCTGCTCTGTGCTCGCTCTGGCTTGTGCAGCCCCCGACAGATTTCTGCCAGAGTAAGGTGGTCTTGAAGGTGCTTTTTATCATTCTTGTTCTGAGTCAACTTTGGAGCTTTGTGGGGCCAGTTGCAACACCGGCACCCGGGGCTTCACATGGCACCTGTTGCCACAGACCACAAGATGGCTTTGGCAACAGTTGCAAAATCAATCAAGCAAATGAAAATAAAGTGCATATTACTATAGAACAATAAACATTATAATGTTAAACAAATGAATGCAGTCAATACATGTCAGCAGCAAACAGCAACAGTGGGCTAAAAAGGCCAATTTGTTTGAAAGCAGGATGCAGCTCTTCCTTAAAGCTAAAGTTGGCCTGCAGTTATTTATTTTGTTTCTGCCCCACCTTTTTTCCTGACGTGAGGCGCCCGGGACAGCTTCCATGGGCCGCCTCCCCCCTCTCTTATCCTCACAACAAGGCGGGCTCCCTGTCTATAAAGCCTGGCTTACAGGGGCACAGCGCTGTGCTCGTGCCAAGCCGCTCGTATTTGCCGAGGGGTTTTGTTCTGTCTGTGCTTCCCTAGCCGCCCAGCCTGTGTGAGCAGGAGGGGCCGAGCGTGTGTTAAGATGCCTTGCACATCCTGCCTGCATGCTGCATTTCAGTGTGGCAGCCATACTGATGCTCATGTGTGGATTGTTTTGTTTCATAGCAAGCTCACAACCGCCCTTGCATTTGCACGTGTACAACCTTGTGTGCTGCAGTTTGCAAGAGACTGTGGGAAAGAGGTTAGGGACTGAATGCACCATTACTGCCAACTTAATTCAGTGTCTGGATAGAACAGGCTCAGCAACGTAGAAAAATCTGTCTGCCATGCTACTTTTAAGCAGGCTGAAGCATGAAAAGGCAGGTGAGGAGATTCTTTTAGGGGTGCAATTCTGTGCATGCTTAGGCAGAAGTCCCGCAATTCCCAGCATTCCCCAGCCAGCATGGATAGCTGAAGAGCACTGGCAGTTGTAAGACCATTTTCTGAGTAAACGTGCACAGGATTTCTTCATTCATATAGTATTTTCCTGTAAAAGTATTCTGCAAACCACACCATAGTAATTGGACTAAATGCTAGTGTCAATGTGGAGCCCTCCAGATGCTTCTGACATCAGCCAGCATGGCTGATGATTAAGGATGATGGAAGCTATTATCCAAAACATCTGGAGAGTGCCTTGCTTGAGAAGCTGGGTTAGCATGAGTAGAATGGCTTGCTTTGCTAAAAGATTTAAAGTGCTTCTATTAAACTGTGTCCTACAACAGTTCTAAAAGACACTTAAAATGACCTAAATAAAACCGAAATTATGGCCACAGTCAGCTATGGCATTGCAGTATGGAATTGCAATAAATTAAAGGGCTTCTGTACATGAGAAGGCCTTTGCTTGGTACTGGAAAGAAAGGAGATTTGGGACCAAGCCTCCTGGGGTGATGGCGTGTTCCAGAAATGGGGTGCCCCAACTGCAAAGTCCTCCTCTCTAGCTGCCAGCTATTTAACCTCTTAATGACAAGGGAAGGGCCTCTGAAGGAAGCTTTAACATCTGGACAGCTCCACATGGAATCCGATGGTCCTCTTGTGCATGCAATTTCCAACATGTTTGGAGAGAAGGTGGGGGATGTTTTCCCAGCTCTGGAACCAGAGGCTCTTTAACAGGAACAATGTGGTAAAATGAATGCATGTCTTCACGTTCAACCTCCTGCGGCAGCCTCTTGTGCAGGGACAGGGGAGCATGTTCCCCTCCGGATGTGGTTGCCCTGCAGCTGCCAGCATGCCTGCACATAGGCTGTGCTGCTGAGGGCTGGTGGGAGTTACCGGCTTGATTTTTAAGCTGCTTGCGAGACTCCCTGAAGGCCAGCCCTTGACGCGTCGGTTTGCTTTTGCGACAGTGATGCCAGGACTCCTGGTTTTTACAGCTATCTAGGACTGAGCAGGAATGTGTAGTTTTATCTCCACATCAGACAGGATGTGGCATGTGCTAGTCCCTTATCAACACCTGTATTACTGCATGCATTAAAAACGTGTAAAAAGCCAACAATTTTGTGTATCTGTCACATGTTCTATAACACCAGCTAACAAAATACCTAACACAGGAAGATAAATGCCTTTCTGAGCATTTGCTCAGGCCAAGGGAAGATTGCCAATCCAGTTTGAATGTTTATAAAACCCTGCTCTGGCCCCAGGACTAGAATCGGCCTGTTGGATACTTCACGGGGCCCAGTCCTGACCTCTGAGGCACAACTCTTTCACATTTGGCTGGATAACAGAGCTGACGTCTGTCAGCATTTGGAAGTCCCATGGTTAAGTGCTCTCTGTGGCTCGTCCCCATCTGGGCATCTGTTAGGACACATGTGCACAAACATACCATCATCGGCTGTGAGATCCCCTGTGGTGATGTGTGGGTGTGGCAGAATGAGGGAAAACAAGGAAGCAAGAGGGATTTCTTTGGAATTATCTATTTATTAATTGCATGTCTATATTGCCCCCTAGCCAAAGCTCTCTGTGTGGGTTACAATCACATAAGCTCTCAATTGATCCAGTTAACCCTTCACATTTCCCACCAAAATAGCCTGATGTTGGGGCTATAGTTCCTCAGACCTTCAGCATGTACATTTGTTTGCAAAGGGCTCCTCAAGAGGTAAAGTGATGACGATAACCAAAGGAGTCCTCTCAAATTTCCAAGAGAGTAGTGTAGATTTCTCTAATTTGGCACTCTCTAGAAGCGATGGACTGCCACTCCTGTAACTTGGAGCCTGCATGAGAGATGATGTCAGACACATCTGGAAGGTACCAAGTTCATAGAATCATAGAACAGTAGAGTTGGAAGGGGCCGTGAAGACCATCGAGTCCAACCCTCTGCCGTTGCAGGACAGCAAGTTAAACCATCCCACCCAGACGGCTGTCCAGTTGCTTTTTGAATGTCTCTAGTGTGGGAGAGCCCACCACCTAGCTAGGCAGCTGATTCCATTGTTGTATTGCTCTGACAGTGAGAAAGCTTTTCCTGATGTCCAGCCTGAATCTGGGTTGTCACAACTTGACCCGATTATTCCGTGCCCTACACTCTGGCATCAGCAAGAAGAGATCTTGACCTTCCTCTTTGTGACAGCCTTTGAGCTACTTATAGAGGGATAGCATGTCCCCTCTGTCTTCTCTCCTCAAAGCTGAGCATGCCCAGTTCTCTCCGTGTTTCCAAGCCCTGGATCATTTTTGTTGCCCTCTGCTGGACCCTTTCTAATTTACCTGCATCTTTCTTAAATCTTGGTACCCAGAACTGGACATAGTATTCCAGATGAAGCCTGACTAATGAGGAGTATAGGGGAACTACTACTTCTCGTGATTTGGAAGTAATACTTCTGTTAATGCATCCCAAAATATCATTTACCCTTTTTGCAGCTGCATCGCGTTGTTGATTCATATTTAGTCTGTTGCCCACAGTCACTCCAAGGTCTTTTTTCAGTTCTGAGTAGTGTGTATTTCCCATGAGCATTGAAACTGAAACAGAGTACAGAAATCACTAATCTGAACCCTCCCCCTGCACCCAGAGTCACCTTTCAGAAATCTGATTTAGCATTTGTAAAAGTATCAAAAGCAGGGGTGAGCAAATTGTGGCCCTCCAAATGCATTGGCCTACAACTCCCATAAGCCCTCATCACTGACAGTGCAGGCAGGCTGATGGGCGCTGTAGGCCAAAACATCTGGAGAGGCAGAAAATGTTCTGGGTGCAAAGAGTGAAAGGTCAACAGGTTCTTGTTTGGAGACTCACATTTGCTGAGCCAAAAGACAAAATAGGTGACCTACAACTACTGCTTGCCGCGTCCTAACTGCATCAGCAGTAGTTTGGTTTTATAATGACTAGTTGGCAGCAGCTCTCAGCCTCTGCTCGCACTGGCTTTCTGGACTCATCCATTCTGTGCCAAGGGCTGTATGTGGGACTTTGAAGGTGCAGCACTTCTCAAGCCCTTACCCAGATACAGCCCCTCTCCCTCCAACGTAACCTCCTATCAGGGCTAGGCTGGGGAGAAGCAAAGTGATCAGGGCTGCTGAAAATGGAGGCAAGGGAGTTGTGGAGCAGTCACTGCCCTTTTGGCTGAGTCCATGGGCCTCCTTCACCTGCCTGAAGCCACGGGAGGGCACGTTTCCTGTGGTGCTAGTCCATCCGGCTGCAGTCCATGCTTGAAAACCACTGAGAGCTGGTTAGAGCACTGGTGTGCTGGCTAGGACACTGGGCAAGGACTCAGGCAATCCGGGTTCAGCTCTCCCTGAAACTCACTGGTGGCCTTGGATCTCCCTCCCACTCTCAGCCTGACCTTCCTCATAGAGTTGTTACAAGGAGATGATGGGGGAAAGGGCGTGATCACGTTTGCCACCCTGCACTTCTCAGTGAAATGAAGAATTAAAATGGTTGCTAATAATGCACTGGGCAGGCGTAATTCTGTGGGCCTTCCCACCTCATTGGGTGGGGTGAAACTGCTCCATGACTGATACTGCGGGGGTGAGGGTCACACCCACTCATGCAGAGGTGGCTGGATGTGTAGCTGAAAGGGGGCCCCTTTTGGGGTGGGTTGTTGTGGCAAAACCTGGGAGGTCACAGGAGGAAGCAGTCCTCCTTGCTTCAGGCTGTTGGCGGTTAAGCAAGGGGTGTGCGCAGCAGCAAAGGGTGATAGAGATCCTGTTAGAAGAATTTCACTAACTGCATGTTTTTGGTTGTTTTTTCCATGCAGGTCCCTTGCCAGAACCAGTTGCCAATGGCGATATGGAGAAGGTAAAGCTTCTGTCGAGTACAAAACTCCTTGAAGGGCCTTCTAGGCTCAGCCAGGGCCACTTTCTAACATTACAGATTTGCTACCAAGCCTACTCCCCTGCTTAGAGCAAAGCCAGATTCCTGGGCGGCTGCTCTGCCCTCTGGGGCCGCTGTCTGCCAGGTAGCTGTACTTGCCTGCAGCCTTGCAAAGCACGCAGGAAAAAGCGGCACGAGAGCTGCATCAGGCGAGATCTCCTTCCTGTAGCTTCAGTAGCTTTTGTGTTGTTCCCCTGTATCAAAATGCTGCCCATGTCCACCGTGTGTAATGCTTCGGCCAGCTCTTGGCGGCCTGCCACAGCAGAAGTGCTGTATCTCCCAAGCTAGGGAGAGGGAGGGAGAGACGCCCTGCGGGTCTTGGAGCCCTTTCCTCCTGGTGCTTGGTTTTGTGCCGCAGAGCAGAGCTGATCCCTTGGCAGAGGCAAGGAGGCTAAAGCCCTCAAAGGCATGTCACTCAGTGGAGGGCCTGCCTCTTGTCACAGAACAGAATGGCCCATTCTTCACCCTGTGGGTGGAATCTTTCTCGCAGTCAGGGCTGCTGTTTCAAAAGGCCATGTTACTTCCAGTCTGCTTTGAAAAAACAAAACCTAATTAAACACAGAGCGGAAAGGAAGCCTCATTAGACCCTCAAAAGGAGGGCATGGGGCAGGGGCTTTAATATACATTGAGGGGCAGAATGAACATGTTCCCAGACTAAAGCTAAACGGAATAGATAAATATATACCACGCATCCTCCTCTTCTCTTGTGGCTGATTGGAACAGTCATCAGCAAGCCAGTTTAGAAACCAGTGAGACTCTTATTACATCACAAAGCCATGAATCTGACCTCTCTTGGAATGAATGGAGCATCATTTTTCAGAATCAGGAGTAGTTTTGCACATTTTCCTACAAATGGGAGTAAAGATGTGTTTTTAACTATGAAGACAGCAAATGTAATAGCAGCGCAAGGGGATTTGGTTTTCAGTATGTAGGATGGTGCTTCTTCCCTGTCCATAAAAACTTACTTCCCAGCATGTAACACTGTCCTGCATCCTCTCTCCCAGGTGATGCAAAGATTCCTGATTCCAATTTTGAATAGAGCATCTTGCTGAAATTGGGCTGATTAGGTTGCCTGAGAGTAACCCTACACCTCTTTTCTCTTCCTCCACTAGTGCCGTGACAGGTTTGGAAGCATTCCTTTAGGTTTTGATGACCTGCAGCTTTCTGCGATGCCCAAACCTGGACAGCCTGTGATTAATCTTAACTGTGGTTAGTGGCAACAAGATTGGCCACAACTCAGAATTTAGCTTGGATGCTATATTGTAGTTAATTTTAAAAAGGAAGTGGAAGTTTCAGAGCATAGGGGCCTGTGTGGGGAGGTGGTGATCATCTTTTAAGGTTGGATCTGGGCTGGGTTTGCACAGTCATTCAGAAAAGAAGCCAGAATGACTCATTTCTGCATCCCTGCACATGCACCATGTGGTTGAGCTTATTAGCTTTGCAACATGTGGCTTTCTGGGTCGTCTGAAGCCAGCAATGCCTTGTAGACTTCTGGGGGTTTTGGAAGTCACTCTGTGTCATGTACCAACCAGATTCAGATGATTCAGCAAGCAGCCTGCTGTGAAGATGATAAGCACTCCAGGCAATGTGCACCTAGTGCACACACGGGAGGGGGAAATAGGCCATGGTAGCTTCCTTGCCCTGTGATTGTGTGAACCCAGCTGCTGTGCCGGAACACAAACTAGCATTTCTCCCACTTGGTGGAAGGGAGCTTTCAGGAACCTGAGGGCAGAAACATGGCATGGGGATCTTCCCAGCCTCCCTAAGGCACAACTCTGTCCTGCTTCTCTGCTTTTAACTCCTAGCTCTTCCTGCCTCTTTAATTTTTATTTGATCACTTAGAGGTGCTTTGTACCAAGCTGCCTTCCTTTGTAGTTATCCTAATTTTTCTCTTGCCATCTTGTTGTTGGTTGGCATAGCGAGGAAAATGGATCTGCTTTTCTGGCACTGGTGTATGTAAATGTCATTTAAGCATCAGAAAAAGACTTTGCTCATTGGATTTCAGACACAGGGGCTACCTGCATCGTTTTGACTGTCGGTTCCTTACAAGCCAGCCCATGACTTGGTCAGTAATGGGCATGCAGCTGTCTCTCAAGCAGTAAGGTCTGCAACTTGTTTATGTGCTAGCTACTACTGCTGTCAGGTTTTAGTTCTGGCTTTCAGCTGTAATCCGAGAGATCTGTGCACTCGCAGTGGCACTGTCATTTTCTTTTTTTGAAGGCAAAAGGCTGTCCATCCATGGGTATTTCCAAAGAACTGTGCTCATTCAAGAGATGCGCTTGTAGATTCCTATCGGATGTGTGTAATGCGCTCACTTGCACGCATGCGTGCGCTCTCTCTCTCTCTCTCATATGCGCATGGTAGGGCAGGTTGCTCATCTGTGGCCCTTTTTAACATGTCATATTATATAGGTCATTCATAGCTGGCAGAGCAGCTTCCTTTTTCAAATAACTCCCTTCCAGCCATAATTCCTGATTCCAAATACTGATAAGAGAGAGACGCCCTGCTTATGTACAAGTTATCTGATTGGTGAAGCTTGTTGGGCAGCCATTCCTCATTGCCCTGGCAAAGCATCATACACAGAGAGTCTTGTTCTTTCCTCCTTTGTTACTTCCTATGCTGTTGTCTGATGAAACTACTTGGGTGACTTCATGGTAGTTTGTGTAGGATAGCAAGCTGCTTAACATTTATTTTAAAGTGGGTTTCTGCTTTCCCCTTTTCCCCTCTCATAGCAGTGTGTGTGTGTGTGTGTGTGTGTGTGTGTGTGTGTGTGTGTGTGTTAAACACCATCCCCCTTAATTTCATTTTAAATCAAAGATTGGAGCAAATTCTGTGTCAACCTGAGGGGTAGTTCCTTTGCCCTGCCCTGCCCTGCCCTGCCCTGCTAAACTGCTGGATGGCACCTTTTTGTAAACAGGGAGAAACAGGCTCCAGTAGTTGCCTGCCTGCCTCTCTTTGACCCAACCTCAGGGAGTGAGTCCAGCGCGAAAACAAGCAGTGGCACAAAACCAGCACCTACCTAGCCCGTGTGTCCCAGGCCATCACACCTGGACTCAGATAATGGCCATCCTCCTGCAGAAGCCTTGAGTTGCAGCATCGCTCATGTGAGAGAGGACAGCAGGGTTTTGCCCTGGCTTTTTCCCCACCCCCACGGAGAGGAGAAGGGGAGAGGGAGCACAGCCGGTATTTAATCCTTCTCAGGGATGAAGAGGATGGAGGATGCCCAGAGCAGGCTTATCAGCCTCTGGGCTGTCAGCAGATTATGCGCTTAGAAGTGGGCTTTCTCATGCGCTTATTTGCGGGTGTCTCTCTGAGGAAGAGGCAGACTGGAGTAAAGGAGCACTGCCCCGCCTCCCTCCTCCCCACTCTTTCATCTGAAGCGACTGAGGAGAGGAGCACCCCAAGAAGGCGTGGCTCCTTTCCCCAACCCTGGTGACCATCTGCATGGCTGGCATTTCCTTTCCTCAAAGCTGCCCCCCTGCTGCCTTGAGAAGGGCAACTCTTAGTGGAAGTGGGGAGGGGCGAAGCCAGGCTCCATCATACGTCTCCCTGCTCTGGGAACGGGGCTGCGCGTGGCCCAGCTACACCTCCTCGAGGTGCTTGTGCTCCACAGGGCCGGCCGTCGTCTTTCTGCACGGTGCTTGTTCCCAGCCTTGCTCTCGCCTCCTTGGAGACCGGGAGCCAGCTGCCTTTCTCTTTGGAAGGGAAAGGAAGAAAGGCCACTCCGCCAGATGCGTAAGCATTTCCCACCTTGAAGGCTCCTCCGCAAGGGAATGCCTGTCCTGTTCCAGGTTTTCCAGATGGTTTTCTGATGCTCCCAACCCCGCTTGGCACTTCTGAATGTTTGGCTGGCCTGATTGTTTGGGGAACTGGCCCTAGCCGAGAGCCAGTGCAACACAGTGGCAAAGGGACCATTTTCAGGAATGGCAAAGCACAGATGACGATTATAGTTTCTAAGTCCTGCCAAAGAGGTAGGAGGAGGAATGCGTGCTATCTAGAGTGGAATTTTTTTTAAAGGAAAATAATGTCTTTGATCCACTGTCTTTGATCTGAAATAATGCGACTGTATGCCATTTATATGGAACATATTTCTTTTTCAATTTCAACTTTGTCTTGTCTTTTTCCTAGGAGAATTATACAGATGATCAGCCGAAGTCTGCAACTGAAATTCCTTCTAGCCCTGTGCCTGCATCTCCTTCCCCAAGTTTAAATGAAGCTCACAATGAGGTATGGAAGCAGCCCGAGCACAGAGAGGAGCCAGGAGAGGTGGTTGGGGTAAATGCGTAGCATTTACACTGTTAAGTGCTTCTTGGAGATGCGAGGTGATTTTGCTGAAGACCAGCAAAATGTATAATTAGACAAATGTAGGCTGCAGATTGTCTGAGAGAAGGAGCCATTTTCCATTATGCTCGTGCCATCCATTTGCCCCCACCCCCTTTCTTCTCCTGCAACTTTGCAGGAAAGACTGTGGTCCAGACGACACACTGAGTTGTTTTTGCTGTCTTTGTTGTTAGTATTAAAGCGCTTTTTGTGAAAATAACTATTCAGAGGCCCACCTGGATCAGGGCCTTGCACCAGTTTCCTGCTGGAAAATCACCTGATTCCCGTTACTGTTTTCCAACAGAGGTAGCAAATATCACCTTCAGGGACCAGTAGCAGTCTGGGGCAACCATTTTGGTAGAAACCTGGTGCAGGGTCTGATCCAGATAAGGAGCATGGACCAAACTGGAACTCTTCCTGGCTATTTTTCCTTTTAAAGTAAAACTGGCAGCTTTGGGCATGCCTTTAATTTTTTTAAAACAAACCACAACCAATGTGCCATAGTTTTGACCCTAAAACAACTTTGGTCATGACCATCTGCAGTAAATTTCAGCATCTTAATCAGGAACTGGGAGATCCAGTGGTTCCCCCACCCCCCATGGCCACTGAAACAACGATACCTAGGATGCTTGTAAATGTTTTTATCGGGATGTATTCCACTGGCCTGATTGCGACCTGTTGCCTTACTGACAGGGGAACCTTCCAGGTTCACTGGCTTCTTATGTGCCTCTGGGATTTGCTAGTTAATCTGGGGAGGGACGGGGTGCCTCTGTTGTTGTCATGGGGAGGAACAGCATCGAAGGAGTCAAGAATTAGTTAAGAGCAATTAGGCACCCTTTATAGCCTCCCTATTCTCGTATTCCCTACACCCAACCAGATGAGTTTTCATTGCCTTACCAGGTTGCCCTCTGATCCATCAGTGTGCAGAGCAGAATGGCCAGTTGCTCCAGAATAAAATCTCTCTTGTTTGCACTCGCATTGTGGGCAAGAGGGCTGACCTGGTATGGGAAACAGAGTTCGGGAGGAGGGGTAGTTTCTCCCAGTTGTGTCCACTAGGGTAACTGGTGCAGCACCAACAGAATTGAGGGATGGAGGATCCCAGCTCCCACATAAATGTCTCCAGGCATGCAAACCTTATTTGGATGTATACATTCAAACAACTGCAGATAAGAATGCAAATGTGACTTCCTTGAGGATGCCTGAACAATCTGGGATGGGAGTGGAGTCCACCTGGTCTTGGGCTGCAGACGTTCAGCTTTCCAGGAAAGAAGGAAGGCAGACCAGGCTCTGGCTCCTGTGAAGGCCCCCGTGTGTGGCTGCTGCAAGGGCAGCAGTGAACCACAGCCTGCCTCTTGGCCTCGGCTGCTGCGCAGAGCAAGGCCGAGGCACAACGGCGAGTGCTCCTGGCTGCGGAGTGCTCTATCCTGTCTTTGTCCTCCTGTTGCCCCTGCAGCTCAACGCTCAAGAGAAGGAGGCGCACCGCAGCTCTGTCTCCGATCCTGTCCTTGACCTGGACATCCCGCTGGCAGTTGCCAAGGAACGTGCCCACCAGAAGCGCACCAACAAAAGAGCGCCGCAGATGGACTGGAGCAAGAAAAACGAACTGTTCAGCAACCTCTAGAGCCTCCCGTGCCCACCGCGCAGGGAGGAGAGGCACAGGCAAAATCAGAAAAATTGCCGGATCATCTTCCTTGGCTTTCTCCTAAGCCTCCATTTTCCCACCACTTCCCCTCTCTTAACCTGGGGGATGGGGACACAAGCTCTTGTGTTCTTCTGTTTAGCCTGAAGGAAAACAAATGGCATGATGATCACTCACACACAATCTGGGAAAAGTGATTTCTATTTAAAAAAGAAAAAAGAATGAACAGACATTTTTATACATCATCTTCAAATAGATTTCATGCGAGAGTGAGGGGATTGGTTAATCTGAGAGCCTAAAGGCAAGATGGTATTGGGTCCATGGTGGGGCCAAGTCCCTTTTCTGAGGAGAAGCATGCTTATTTCTCTCTGTTTCAAATTCAGTAAGATTTTTAGTGGAAAACACATGTTCAGGACAAGGTTTTGGGGTTCCAGGCTTGACACCTTTCAAGAGGCATGGTTTGGCGCTTGGCCACTCCTTAAAGGCACTGGCTCTTGGGATACCTGATGCCAAAACCGTGAGTCTGGGTGAACATGGCCAACGCACTCCGGAGAGATTCTCTTGGGGTGCTGATTGAGCTAGTCCAGAATTAGTAATTTAAAGACTGTAGCTTTAGTTTAGAGTGGAGTTCTTAATCCAAATTTGACTACCAGCCGAAATCCTCTTGTGAGCGGACGTCTTTTCCACAAGGAACCATTTTCCTTGGACTGGAGTTGTCTATCCATGACACTCCATCCTTTTTGGGGCAAGGTAAAGAGACTTTCTAGTTTGCAGTTGTTAGTCAGCTGCTTGTGGGATGACAAGGCTCACTGAATGTCTTCCATTGCCTCTCATGTGCTTTAAAGTTTTGGACAGTGGGTGGGAAGAGGGAGCCCCAGGAAATGGTTTGGGAGCTGAGCCTGTGGGGCTTCTTCTTCTTTTGGCCAGGAATCTCGAGCGGGAGGGTGGGTTTCAGGTCTAACAGAGTGCGTGAAAGCAGCAGAGAATAATATCCTGAGCTCAATTTATTCATGGAGACGGGGAGCCAATCAGGGTTTTCAATAGCAGTGCTTAATTAACAGTTTATCTATGAACTGTTCCATTTTCTGAATTGTTTTCTAATTATAGCTGTCTTTCTCCTATCTGTGTATATTGTGGAAATTATTCCTCCCCCATGAATGCTGTTTCTTTTTGTTTTGTTTTGCTTTGTTTTCCTTGATTGTTGTTGGCAATGTCAAATACAAGAGAGATCTTGTCAGCTGGAAAGGAATGGGGGAAAGCCACCATGACCTTGTGTGTACATGTGTGCTGATTTTCTGTTTTAAATCTTCGTACAGTCCAGAGAGCTTGTTGGAGAGGTCAGCTCAGCATGTGACCAGGCAATCCGGCCTGGCCTTACGGCCGAGCTCCATGTCATGATGGGGATTGCACACTGACTGCCAGCAGCCAGCCAATGCAGGCAGAATAGGTTACAGTGTAATTCAGCTTTCCACCCCAGGAAAAACTTTGGGCACTTCTTTACATGCATGCTTAGATAGAAGAAATGTCCTGCAACCGAGTGTTCCCCAGCCAGCATCAGTAGCTGAGGAGGGCTAAGAGCTGAAGGACCTTTGTCCGTCTAAACTTGCATAGGGCTGCATCTTTAGATGATTAACCCTTTTTGTGGACGCATGTCAGCAGGGGCTGTGGGAAGACCATGGAGGGGATATGTGCAACGTCTGGGGACGGGATGTGAATTTCCCCTTTCATCAAACACCTTTTTCCCCCTGCAAAGAGTGGACAAGCAGTTCTGCTTTCACATTAGCCATATAATTGCTCATTTGTTGGCTGGAGCAGGGAGGGGGGTCCCCAGCGAGAAACAGCCCAGGCGAGGCAGAGTCCAGATGGAAACTCTCCGCCCCCCACAATGTGTTTCCTCCTCCACATGTTCACCGGGCGTGTTGGGGGGCAGTGGGGGTGGGGGTTGTTTGTCTGGAGAGAGGCACGATGGGACCTGCTTCTATTTAAAACAAGTTGGCTTGCTGAAGCCATTTTGGCCTTTAGATCTCTGCTGCAGAGGGGTCTACAGCCATTCATCCATTCTCGCTCGCTCTTTGTTGTGAAGAACCCAGGCAACCCTCTTGGTTGCTGTGTGTACAGGGCCCTGCAGCTCCTGCCAAATGTGATGGGGCTTTCTTTCCGTATTTCTTAAAAAGTTTTGCTAAGAGAAGTCTGTGTGTAGAAAATGTTATGCACTGGGCCCCAAAGGCTAAGGACAGCTGGAAAGATTGGCAACCAATATGACTTGGTGTTGGGTATTCAGTCAACTCGAGTAGAGACAGGTCAGGCTGAAGCGGCCTGTATAGTCCCTTCTCCCTGGCTAAAATCCTAAAGTTGTCACCTGCTCATATTTGTGTTCAGTAGCACAAGGGCATCCACTGGTGTGTTTATTGCTGCAACTGAGAGAGTTTTGCTTTAGAACTTTTCCGTGTTTTTTAAAGCAGCAAGATATATTGCTAACCAAGCCCCTCCATGGTAAGAGCACATTCAGCCGAGGTCCACAAATTGTGTCTGCAGCAGAGTAGGGGGGTGGTGGGTTTGTGGGACAAAAGCACAAGTTTATCTGAAATATTAGGCACAGATGTTCATTCCACAGACTATTCTGCTCACACGCTAGTGGTGTGGTACACAGCCCCTCCAGTTTGCACAATAAGAACGCAGTGCCTATGGCTGTAAACACGTTCTGTATGCACTCACACCTCTGCTCAACATTTATTGTGGCATAAGCTTTTAAGGACTAGAATCAGTTTATTAGATACATTAGATGCATTTCTCTGTGCCTTACGGTTTCAAGTTTCCACAGCTAACTAACTCCCCAGGAAACATTAGGAGTTGTTAAAAGTATCAAGCTCCATCATCCTGCAGCATTGCTGAAGGGCCAGTTTGGTGTGATGCATTCCTATGGAAAGGGCTGCAGGTGTTTTACCTAATATGCAATTCTTGTTGCTGTTGCCAACAGCATGGAAAACTAGTTAAAAATGAGTTGCACCAGGAAGAGAGTACCTGATGCAAAATGGCTTAAGTGGTTTGGAGGAAAGATGTGATTGCAAGGGCAATATGTAAGTTTAAACTGCTAATACAGCTGCAAGTGTCCAACCAGGTTTCTTCATCCTACCGACGCACCCCCTTTCCTCCATCCTAACCTGTTTCAGGTATACAAAGGACCAAAGGAATTACAACAGCCCCTTATGCTGTGCAGATCTTCCCAGAGTGGTTCTCCTGTTAACGTCCAGATCAAGGTATAAAGTGTATCCAAGGTATGCATTACCGATGTTGCACTTTCCTACGTGACAGGTACCAGCACATCCTACATCCCTCTGCTGCTCCAGCTGAGAATATGCATGGGATTGCAACAGGAATACAGGAGGCTAGAGAAGCCCATCTCATGCTTTCCTGTGAAAGTGAATTGTTGTATAGAGATGGGGGTCTCCAACTAATGCAGCTATGGACCCTCCTTTTCGTGCCAGGGCAGTGCTGGAGGTCCTGGAAAGAGAACAGGCTAAGGCAACGAGAAAAAATGCAGACCTTGGGATATGCTAATTGATACATGCTCTGAAGTTTCTATGGGTGCGTCTTTAAAGGCCTTGTATCCTAAGGACACCAGTTATGCAAAAAGGGATATAGGGACAGGAAAGAGGAGGGCATTTGATTTCAAGAAAAAGCTTGCAAGCAGAAAGGTTTGGGGGTGCGGAGAAGGTGAAGCACATGTGAACAAACAGCCAGCTAATCCAGGGATGCAACAGCCCCCCCCCCACCTTTATTCCCACCACTACCCATGGCCAGCAGGGTGGTGGGCTAAAGGCTTTTATGGGACTTTGCAGGGCTTCAGAGGAAAAATTTGGGCTCCAGCCCAGTTGCACAGCCTCTGCTTGTTGCCCATCAGGCTTCTTGGTCCTGATTCTTATTTAATCTCAAAACAATTTAGGAGGTTGGTATTCATAGAACTATAAACGAGAGTGGCACCATTAATTATCTGAAATGCTTCGGTGCTACTTTCAGTGAAAAAGTTTTGGAGCTCTTTCTAGTCACTCATAGAACTAAAAGAACAACTGTCCTAGAACCACCACCAACAGGAAAGGGCAGCACTAAAGTCAACCATGGCACAAATACTAATTATCTGAGAGGGTGGAAGTCTGGAACCGTAAGTCAATGCAGGTGGGGGTTGAGGCTTCCTGAAGAAGACACTTGACAAGCAACCAAAGAGGTCCTTGGCTGTTGTCACCTGCAAGCGGCAGGGAAGCCCAGTGGAGAACTTCTGAGGGAGGGTCTTTGGGATCAGGCAAGTTGCTGTGGAAATAAAAGTTTCCTCAGTTAAGCTGTTCCCAAGCTGTGTGGGACTTTTAATGTATGCTGTGGTGTGCTGGATTTTTCCCAGATGCAGAGTTTTCTTAGCATGGGTGGGATGTGTTCCCAGTGCCTAGTCCTAAATCGGTAGCCTAGTTTGGGATTAAATGCAGTTCCAGGGTAAATCCTCAGAGACAGAACATACTGCAATAGTCTAACGTGCCAGAGCGTTCGTGACTCTAGCCATGCTAATTCTGTTTCTTCCCACCTAGTAAGTGGAAGAAAGTATAAGGAATGGATCCAGAGGTTGCAGCTTTTTTCTTTCTTGCTCCAAGCCAGACAAGGAAGCCACAGGTTTTGGAGTCTGAAAAATCCACTGTTGGTTGCTCTAGGGATTTGGCCTAATTATGCAAATACGCAATCTGCTTAATGGGCTGCGCATGGGCCCCCGCATCCCCAGGAGCACAGAATGCTGCCCTGTGGTCCAGAGCAGAAGCCATGCTTCGTTTAAGAGGGGCATGACTCAAAGAGAAGGGAGTACGCCTGTCTCTACTTCTTGCATTTTCCATTCTGGAAAGAGATGATGGAACAGACATAAAGAGGAGAATGCTTTTTGAAAAACCTTGCATTATAACACCAGTGCTGGCTCAGCCTTCAAAGTGCAGCGGAAACCAGCAGGCCTAGTAAATTTAGTGGCTGAGCAGGTGACTCAGCTTGGCTGCTTTTGCTTGTGTGGAGTAGATTGAAGGGCAAGAATGGTTGAAAATGCTAATCGCAGAGTGATTAGCTTCTGTCTCCAAAACTGCAGGGGATGGAGAGGTCTCTGCCAGTCCCTCCATGGGCTAAGAATGCCTTTGGATTATTAAAGAGCTATAATCTCCGTAGGTGGGGGGGATGCCATGAACAAGAGACTGCATTACAGCATGTTTCAGCTTGATAATCTCTCCCTGCCTGAAAGGCCCTGCACTGAACTGTTCCCACAAGCTCTGCTTAGTAATGCAACCTGTATCCTTCCATCCAGAAGTCAAGGCAGCAGAAATGGGGTACCAATCCAGGGGCTGACCAGCCCTCGACTTTGCTTCCACGAGGCGGCTATTTCAGCTGCTTGCGATCCACTCATCATTTTAGTGCTGATTTCCTAATTAGATGGCCGCAGACCCCAACCATTTCCTTGCTCCCCTGTAGGACAAAATGATGCCACCATGAGATGTACGCTCCAAAACCAGTGAGAACTTTGCAGTGGGCAGGGGAACTGAAAACATTTGATCTAAGCAGGCAAAATCTTTTTGCTATCAATACATAAACCGATACAGTGCTAAGCAGTGAAGATGTAACATTGTTGGCAGAGTCCAACAATTCCCGGAGAGCTGCAGGTTGCTCATCTCCTAGTATATATAATTGGAGAAAAAATATCTGGCAATTGATAGAAAATGATGTGAATATCAGTGAGGGCCCAATTGCTTCTTCATATTATCAGCCTTGGCAATTTAGGGAGTGCCATAATTTTGAGTTACTAGCATAAGGAACCATGGAAATAATTAGGAAATTTTTGTAGAAGTAGGACAGCTGCAGTTTCTGCTAAAGAAAAATAAGATGTGAACAATGCCACGTTACAGAGGAGTAGCTGTGTTGATCTGCAGCAAAAACAGTGGTTTACCTTCCTATGGTGCCTGGGAGACCAATGCACTTGTATGGCCCATCCTTACTGGGGCCAGAATCCACACTGAATCAATTGCATTAAGAGGTGTGCTATCTTATGTGGGTTGGCGCAGATTTACAGAGGAGGAGGAAAGCTACTGGTGGAGCCAAAAAGTCCCAACATGCAGAATGTAGTAGGCGCTCCAACACATTTCTATGCAGAGCCAAATGTAGGCACAATAAGGATGAGTTTTGTTCACTATACCCATGTAACAGCAGCAGCCTTTGGTAGCGTGCCGCTGTTTTGCTAGGGGTGAGCACGCATCTC